AGTTTTCACAGGACGTGGCACAAACACCCTGAGAAGCTGGGCCTGAGTGGTCAATTGGGCCCTCTCAACTCTCTTGATCTCTAACTGCAATAAGATGAGTCAAGAAAAAAAGACTGTAATAAATGAGTGAGTAGAATCTCTAAGCATGTTGTAGAGCACATATATGGAAAGTTGCCAAGAAGATGAAATCTTTATGCATTAAATTCAACCAAATTATCTATTTAAGAACATTCCTCCAGAAAGGCCTCTGCAGAATTTCATATGAATTATTCCCTCCAAACAGTAAGAAGACAAACAAAAAAAATGATTTAAAAACTCAAAAAACATAAAACTCAGAACCACAAGGTACCAGCAAGATAAAGGTATTCCATTATGACCAGGTATGCTGAGTATAAAAATTATTAATCTAAATAGAGGTAGACTAAAATGGAAAAAGAAAGTAGTAAAGCCACATAAACATTCTCTATGCATAAGATGCATGTACAGTACTTGTAAATTTGATATGAAAAATCCACAAAAATGACTCTTGCCTGAAGAAGTCTATGAAAACTCCCACCAAAGCAACCTGCACATTAGAGGTCAACCTTTCATTGATTCATTCAACCTACATTTTTGCACAACTCTTCTGAGCCTTCCCCCTCTACAACTAACATTCTACAGTGCTTCTCACCCTGTGTCTGACTCTCTTTCAAACAATCTTCCCGATACCATCTTTCTAGCTCGCTCACTTCAGTCAATGTCCCTTAGTAGCGATGCCTTCCCTGACCGCCATATGTAAAAGACCACCCCTAGCCTTATCACTCTCTACCTTATTACCTTATAGTATTTTTCTGCAGAGCACATATCGCTAATATATTTGTTTATTGTCTGTCTCCCTTTGGTAGAAGGAGCTCAATGAGAGAAGGAATTTTGTCTGTTTTTCTTTCTGTGGTATATATAGAACTTAGAACAGTGAAAGACAATACAACATGAATAAAATATCTGTAATTTAGAGTCTGATAGGGAAGAGAGGCCTCAACTGACAGACCTCATAAACGGGGCAATGTGGTAGCATAAAGACATCATACAAAATGTGGTCTGGGAGAGTCTCAAACATTTCTTAGAGGAAGAGATGCACAATAGGGTCAGTGGAATTGGGTGCATTCCAGACATGGCAGGCAGCATGTAGAAAGGCACAGATCGTAATGGAGCCTTACACATTTGGAAATCTTGTGTAGCTGCAACAAAGTGAATGGCTGAAAGGACAAAAGATGAGGCCGTAACAGAAAGGCAGAGCAGACACGCTGGAGCAAGGAATCACTGAGTGCTTTTAAGCTGAGGAACAGCATGACCACATTTGCATCTCACAAAGGTCTCTTTGGAGGTGGTAGGGCAGTAGAGGGAAAGGTAGAATGAAGGCAAATCTGTAGTCAGTGAGAATATTTAGGAGATTATTGCCAAAGTCTCTACAAGGACCAGTAATGCTAAAAGTTAGGGCAATGGTGTTGAGATGGAGATAAAACGGGTGTCTTGAGTGCACATGACTGGATGCAAGGATAAGTCCCATTTTCCCAAAACTCTGCTCCACTGTCAGTTCCTATGGAAAGTGCCTTAAAAAACAAAAGGGAATTTTTAAGGCTCCTCTCTCTCCTCCCCACCCCACCCCGCTACTCTAATTCCAGGTACAGCTGTATCCAGAAACTGTACCATGTAATTAGACAGCTGCATTCTTGTCTTCACTCACAGCTTTGCTCTCCTCGGCATCAACATCATTCTCAGGTCAGTTCTTTGCCATCTACTTCCCATCTGAAAATACGCTACCTCTGCTTCTTCCTCTTCCCTTTCCTCCATTCTGGGCCTGGAATGTCTTCCTTGACTTTTTCTCACAGAGTCTATCTAGTTCAATGCCCCACTCACATACTCCCTTATAATTTTATGTATCGTTTTTCCATAGTACACACCATTTTATAATTATTTGTTAATTTTTTCAATTGAACTGTAAAAGCTCCTCAAGGCTGATACTGTGTTTTCCAGCTCTACATCTAGCACAGACATGTGGTAAAGAGTGGGGGCTATGCTTATTAAAGGAATATTCTGAAGACTAAAATTTCACTTTATTGGTGACCTTTGAACTTTTCATAAATTCTTTCTTACATTATCATTATCTTTTCTTTCTTTCTTTCTCTCTCTCTCTCTCTCTTTCTTTTTTTCTTTCTTCCTTTTTTTTTTTTTTTTTTTACATTTATATTATACATAGATGATTCAATACAAGGACAAGGAATAAAGTATCTCCTAAAATTTACTCCAGGAAAAGTTTTCTCTTATCTGAACAGTTTGATAGGATTCCTTCTTTTTAGAAAATTAGAATATTTCAGACACCATCATTCCATTAATACCACTGCTGCAGGAAACAGGCTAAACATCATGCCCAATTTGGGTATAGCTGTAGGCAGAATTGTTTTCGCATTCCCTCCAATGACTGATATGTACACAGGTATGACCATTACTATAAACTACCTTAATTTCCTTTTGGAAGGGTACTGAGAATGCATTTGAATCCAGCCTATTGAGATAAATAACAGTTATTTATTTATTATTAGTCAGAATGCACATGAGTACCCAGTACCCAGCCCAGTTGCCTATCTTTCTCTGGGCCTGATCTACTAGATGATAGATCTCTGCCTCCTCTTCTTATTTACAGTATCACTGATAAATAAATAATGTATTCATTATTATAAAACAAATAAATGATTTGACCAGCCGCTTGGGACCATCACACATGTCTCTTCCTTAGGTGGAAAAAAATTATTAATTCAAGGTATGTAGTATCTTTAAAAATTAAATAAGAATCAGATGTCAATGATGGTGATGAAGATGAAGGCTAAAATTTATCTAGTGATTACTGTGTATATGTTCTATAAGTATTTGCTCATCTAAATACCATGACAACCTATGTAGCAGGTAACTATTATCATCACCACCCTAATTTCACAGGTAAGAAATCTGAGGCACTGAAAAGTTAGGTAACTTTCTCAAAAGTCACACAGCTGGTAAGTGGCAGGGCTGGGATTTTCACCTATATATTTAGGTCCCAGGTCCATGTTCTTAATCACATAGCTATGTGGCATATATAGAAATAATGCCGAGATGGCCAGAGCCAAAAGCAGCTGAGACCTTTAGAATAAATATACTATTAACTAAAGGTATAACCTTCTGTTTGTCTTTTTTATTCTTCTTACACTCATTACCACAGGTTATAATCAACATCTTCTGAGTAATAATGTCTCACTGACAGCATAGGAGTGTGGACTATAAGGCAAGACAAGTAGAGCTGGGCTCATATTCCCATTCCACCACATTCCAGCGGGGGTCACCTGGCATGTTGTTTCATAGAGGGGGCACAAAGTTGAGTGGCTACAGGGTTCAGTTTTTCCCCAGGGACCATGTCTGTACCAGCACCCTTCTTGTGAGAACTGTCCTTTCTCTCCAGCACCAGAACCTGTGGTAGGTATGAACACTCCTCCCTGGCCAGGGTAACTGGTCTCAGTCAGGTGGCTGCTGAAACTGAGAAGACCACAGCATCTCACTGCCTGGCAAAGAGATGAGAACAGGGCCTGAGCTGAGAGTCACCACTGATACTTTTCTAACTGGCGCTACGAGCTTTTCCTGTCCAGTCACAAAGTTGTGAGGACTTCAGCCTAGAGCTGGCAATGACCTCAGTACCAGGATGTTTGAGAGAATGGAGCCAGCACGTAGAGAAATCTAGAGAGAAGTCTTAGGGCACTGGAGTCCCTGCTTCCCATCTTCAAGTTTATAAAACACATCAGCCAATAAACCACTTTGAGAGAAAAAAGGTATTTCTTTGAGTTTCTGTCACTTTTGACTAGATGAGTTTAACTTTAACTCTGAAACTCAGTCTCCTTATCTGCAAAGTGGGGAAAATAAAACAACAGCCCTTCCTTCGCAGGGTGCTTCTGATGGGGAAACAAGATATATACTGCAAGTACTTTAGTAGTGTGTCTTAGGAATAAAAAAGTCTCCGTGGCTGTTGGCTGACAGTTAATGACACCTGCAATAGCACTTGTCCCAACAGAATGTTGCCAAGATTACATAGTCATTCTTGGTTCCTCTCTTTCTCTGTCATATGAAATGTGACAGCAAGTATTATTGGTTGTAACACTTCAAACTACAATATTTAGAATCCAGCCACTTCTCCAATTCTCTAGTTCCACCACTTGGAATGGTCCAAGCCAGGATGTTAACCTCTGCAACAGCCTCCTAATACCTCCCTGCTTCGGCCCTGACTTTTGACAGTCTCTTCTTCACACAGCAGTCCGAGTGATCCCATTTAAGTGTAAGCCAGAGAGATGAACATGCCCCAGTGGCATCTCGTCTCGCTCAGGGTCTACGTCAGAGCTGCTCCTGACTTGCGCCCCTCCCCTCCACCCCCGGCCTCTACTACTCCTTCCTCCTGCTCTGCTCCCCACCAGCCTCCTCCCTTGTCCTCAGTCCGTCACCAGGTTCCCATCTCAGGGCTTTCACACCTGTTTCTTCTATTCAGGACACTCTTTTCCCAAATATCTTCAAGCCTCAATTCCTTCTTTTCCTTTAGTTTCTGCTCAAAGGCCACTCACTTTGTGAGGCAGTTGCTTAATGCCCTGTTTAAAATTGTAGGCCCCATTCTAATTCAGTTGTGCTTTACCCTAACACTTACCACCATCTGACCTACCATATCCATTTTCCTATTTGTTTATTGTCTGTCTCCCCTCTCTAGAACGTAAGCTTCATGAGAGGAGGGGTTTTTGACTGTTTATCATTATTCCCATCACTGTTGTGTTCCCAGGCATATAATAAATATTTACTGGAAGGAAAGAAGGAAGGAAGGAAGGAAGGAAGGAAGGAAGGAAGGAAGGAAGGGAGGGATTTTCCCACAGTCCCCTTTTTGGGGAGTTGGGGTACAAACACAGACTATGGCAGGGGGAAAAATGTGGAAATCTTGTTATGAAATTTTTTGCACTTACTTGGCACAGCGTACCCAGTGAGTATGTCGGTACAAGGAATATAAGAAGCGCTGGCGATACATGTTCCATACTTTGATGGATTTGTCTTCGGAAGCTGTAGCCAGAAACTGTCCATCAGCTGAAAAGTCCACACTTCTAACTGGAGCTGTATGAGCTTTAAATTCAGAGGATTTCCCTCTCCTGGAAATGAACAGTTTAATATTTACAACATTTGATTTAATTACAATCAATAACTCATCAGTAAACAGACTTTGAAACATACAAAATAGTTTAACTCTTGCAAAACTAAAAAAAGCATGAAAGGTTATATTGTATTGCATTCTTCATCAATACTGTTTCAAGATGGCTTTGTTAATTGCATTTGTTTTTGTTTTAATTGAAAGCTAGGGAAATAATATTTTGAGCAAATCTCTACCATGCATTTTAAGTTCCTGTTTTTTTTCTCTAGAAATAGCAATATATAAAGAATCTGCAACCTAGAAAAGCTAAGACAGATTAAATGAATAGCTCCAAAGCAATGTTTTCGAACTGGTGTCACTATACAGAATATCTCTAGGTGATTTGCCTTTTCAGTTTCCACTTGCATTTCCACCTACCAGTAATGAGAACTGAGACCCCTGCATTGTACCTAAGGCCTTACTCACTCCTAGACAAGCAAAACAAAGGATAATTGGCAATAACATAGTACTTCAGTTCTCAACACCTTGAAATTTCAGATGCATTTTTTCCTTGACTAGAGTGGGGAAAGAGAATAGGAAGAACAGATAGAGAAAATAATATGTGGCACTGAAGGGGAAGCAGCAGGAAAAAAATTTAAGAGTTAAAGGCAGGCTAATGGATAATGCTGGAGTTAAAAGGTGACATTTGGGAAATACCACTTTGGGCCAGAGTTCCCAAGTGCCCAAGGCACTCTCACTTTGTACTACATCCAGACTTAGCAATTTTTTCCATTCAGAAAGTCCTATTTATACAGGTGATAACTTATGAGGAAAATTGCCATAACTGTTTGAAAAAGATCAGGCAACAGAATCTGCAGAAGCCTGGGAAGTTACACTCAATTCCTTCCTCTGCCTCTCCTCTCACATACAATAGGTCGCCCAACTATTGAGTGATGGTGATACCACTGTCTAAATATCTTTTGAATCTCTCTTCTTTCTATCCCAGTTAATGTTTGCATTTATGTAGGTAAATATACATACCCTCAATATCCTTCACCTTGATTACTGCAAAAGCCTCTTAGCTGGTCTTCCTGCTCTAATCCTTCACCTCCCTCCAGTCACCTACATACTGTGCTTAATACGTTGCTAAAAGTAACTCCGAGCATGTAGATCCCAGTGTAAACATGTCACTGGCTGCCCTCCAAAAAAATGGTACAATACTCAAGCCTTTTGGTGAAGCATCCTGCCACCACACTGAACTTTGTACTCTGAGAACAATAATCCCAGTGCTTTAGACACACCTCTTGCTTTGTGTTTTCTGCTTTCTCGGCCTGAACTACCTCCCCTAGTACCAGACCTCCTGGACCAACCCAAACAGGCTTAATTGCTCTGTACCTGCTACATCTACTTTGTTTATTATATAGTACTTTTTTAAAAAATAGACATGTTTCTCTCCTATTAAGCAGTAAGTTTTTTGAGGTCAGGAATAGTGATTAATTCATCTCTGTAAGACCAGCATCTAGCACAATGTCAGGCATATAAAAAGAGCTCAATACACTTTGTTGAATTCCACTAGGAAGAGTGGAAGAGTCAATACATAAAGGTTCTTAGATCCCTCCTGACTTATCCTTCCAGTGGCCTACAGAAGAAAAGGAGACTGTCATAAATCTCCATCACCTGATACATTTATATTACACCAGGAATAACTAAAAACCAATATTTGAAAAATATAGGAGGGAGCATTCAGGAACAAGTTCAATGCAGTTTCAAGGAAAAGGTCTATGAGTAGAAGTCAGAGTACAGTTTGGCCTGAATTCAAGTATAAGGCTTAGAGAAAACAAAGAAGGCCTTGGTGTCTGCTCTGACCAGGAAGCCAGGAGACAGTATCATCAATATCTGCCCTGATTGTTAGCTGTATACTACACGCTCCAGCGGGCTATCCTGCTTCCCTTCTAAAAGTGTCTCTGCTCAGCTGTAGGCTAGCCTAACCACTGCATCTGGTCTCAACAGGAAGCATATAAAAAACCAAGACAGCAGTGCCTTGTGTTTGATGTGCTGGTGCTTAACTGGTTTCTAGTTTCTCACTTTGCCGTAATGTAGGTGCTCTGCCTCCCACATACCTGTCCTTTCTACCCAAATTCTCTTGACTCTCTACCATGACAAACTCCAGGCCAGACCTGCTTCCACACTTGCTCCTACTATTATTTCTTAGCCTTCCAGTCACCAGCTGGGGTGTTTGTCTGCACATATGGCTGCCTAATACTCCTCTCATCCCTGTATACACTTACCATCCTCCCCACAAGAGGTGGAATCTGCTGAGTTTTCCTCCCTTTGAATCTGGGCTGGTGTTGTGAATTACTCTGACTAACAGAATGTGGCAGAAGTGACTGTGCAAGTTTCTGGCCTAGCCCTTTAAAGGTCTAGCAATTTCTGCTTTTACTACCTTAGAACCCAACTGCCAAGCTGTAAAGAAGTCCCTATCCTGCTAGAAAGAGGGCAGATGGAGGACCAAGGAGCTCTAGCCAAGAGACAACACCAAAGCACTAAGAATAAAAGCAAGGTATTGGACCCACCAGCCCTTTTGCCAACTTAATGAAGTTGCATAAGTAGTAGGTAGACCAAATGGGACAGAAGAATTATACAGACAGCCTACAAAATTGTGAGAAGTGATAGTTATTATATTAAGCTATTATGATTTGAAGATTTTTAAGCAGCAGTAGATAGCTGATACATCAGTTTCCTTCCTGTTGCCATGATCCACTATTGCCCTGGTCCCACTATGATAGACTTAGAAAGAGGAACTAGAGATATCTATACAAGTTTAATTGTTAGATTAGCCAGTACAGATTAATGATTTATTGTGCTTTTTAGCTCATGTACCCTTGTATAGTTTGTTCACTGAGATTTCTTTGAATTAGTAATGGGTGACTGAGGCTGTGTTGTGTTGGTCCTAAATTCCCAAAATTAAGGATTTTAGAAAATGCTTTCCCTTTTGGACCCCAAACCAGTCTCTCACCCTTACAATTACCCTTTATGTTGCCATCCACAGTGTCATTATAACATGTCACTCCTCTTCAATAGCTTTTGCTACATCAGGATAATATTCAGATTTCTTAGCATGGCATTTCCCTTGGGCAGTGGCAGGAAAAAAAAGTGCCCACTGTCAGAGAAATGTTCCATGAATTATCAATTGGGACTGCCTGAGCCTGTTCGATCACATACCACAAATCAAATCCTGCCACAATCGAGTCATGGAAAATGCTCAAATTCTTATTCTCCGAAGTATTTACTGGGGGAAATGATATGATGTATGAGATTTGTTCTAAAAGTATTTCAGCAAAAACGGTGGGGGGCGGCTATGGGGGAACAGATGTAACAAGATTGACAGAATACAGGTAACTGTTGAATCTGAACAATGGGTGTGGGGTGAGGGAGTCTTTGTGTTATTCATTCTCTTTTCAAGTGTATTCGAAAATTTACATAATTAAGAGTTTAAAAACTTAAAAAAAATTAGCTCAATAATTGCTTAAAATTAATAGGCTATCAGCTAGGGGTTGAAAAACTTCTTACAGACAGATTTGTTATAACAGGATAGGATAGTACAACAAATGCAATGATTTACAGTTTTGTCAGAAATTTTCTTTAACAAGAAAATTCTGGAGCCCAATTATGAATAATATGCATCAAAAAATACTGGCACCGGAGTTTTTAATAGGGACCCAAAAGGTCCTAAAGATCCTTGAATGAGCTTTAAGAGGTTAATAAACTGTAAATTTTTTGGTTATATATGCTGATGTCCATTTCTCTGGGGAGACAATATAAGTACATCAGATTTACACAAGGGTTGATAACTATCACCAGCCCAAAAAACACTTAGTACATATTAAGCATATTTCCATGGTTAGAAATAATTTTCAAAGAGAAGACATAATTATGAGTTAAAGATGAGGAAAAGTGCTTTGAAATAGTTTGACTCAATACCTCGTGTGTGACTAAGACTAAATGTAGTGCAGGTAACTGTGGAGTTTAGGCCTTCCCAAGAAATGCGTCCAGAGCAGCCAGGCTCTAGTTTCGTTTCACATTTCTAAATCCAGAGCATATTAGGTGTTTCTTTGTTTCTCTTACTTATCAGGAATCCAGAGTCTAACGGTTCTGTCTCGTGAAGCAGATGCCAATAGGTTTCCAAGTGGAGAAAACTGCACGCTGGTGATAACATCCTTGTGACCCACATATCTGAAAGCTCTAGCTTGTGGCTTGAAATTCCATAGCATGAGAAATGTATCCCAAGAAGCAGTAGCTATCAAGAAAAAGAAGAAAACCACTGTTTATTAAAACTTAACATGTAGGCATATCTCGTTACAGTGCGTAGCATATCTAATAACAAAATGTCAGGATAACAGAGGGGCTAGAGTTTGAAAGGCTGACCAGGTAATAATAGCAAAAATATTTTAAAAGAAACCCAAAGCTATGTCATGAATATGCAAGTTTGGCTGTAACCACACACAGCAAGATTGCTGGCCTCTACATTCCCTTAGAGCTCAGTGACTATTTATTAGAAGGCAGTACAGTATAACAGAGTACACAGGACTAGGATTCAGTTCTGTCTCTAACTCTCAGGGTGGCTTGGGAAAGTTACTTAATCTCTGTGTCATGAGGACTAAATAGTTTTCCTGAAAGGATGGATGAGATGATATTTTTAAAATTGTTTTTGTGGAAATAATTTCACTTTTATAAAAAAGTTACATGACTAGTATAAAAATATTAACATACCCGTTACCAGATCTACCTGTTTTTAATATTTTGCTCCATTTGGTTTATAATTCACTCTTGCACTCACTTGTGCGTGCGCACGCTCGCTCTCTCTCTCTCTCTCTCTCTCTCTCTCTCTCTCTCTCTCTCTCCTTCTCCA